CATTCCGGGGCGGTTCTGCAATCTCGTGAAAATTCCGGACGTCTTCAACGTACCATTATTGACATATTTCGGTGACTTTCAAAATGGCCTTTCGGTCCGGCCCGGACTGTTGCAGTCCAGCATGACACTGTTAGAAAAGTCAAAGTTACTGTAAGAATTTGAGTATTCACAGGTATCGGAGCCATCTTTTACTACATATTTTCGGTGAACTTTCAAAATGGCCTTCGGTCCGGCCGGACTGTTTGCAGTCCAGCATTGACACTGTAGAAAAGTCAAAGTTACTGTAGAATTTGAGTATTCACAGGTATCGGAGCCATCTTTTACTTCTTTGTCTAATGATGGGTAGAAGAATGATAAGGTAGATATATCGTTGGACAAACCTTATATCATTTCAAGTCCATTTCGTCAAAGTGGTCAAGTTATACTTCGAATTAAAATCATGTGGATCATATGCAAAACGAAGGTGTGGTGGAATTGAACTTGATCCGAAGTTACAATATCTCAGTGGGCTGGCTATTACAACAAAGGTTACAACCTTAGAAAAACAGTACAATAGGGAAACTACTCTAAAGATCAACAAGAGTTATAAAGAGCATCTCAAAATTCTAAATATCAGTATTGTCTAATTTATACTTACTATATATATAAATGTGGGAATGAGGGGAGAAATAACGAGATTTCCTAAAATATTTTTAGTGAAATTTGAGGTATCCTTAGCATGGGCCGATTAAAAGATTTTAATTGAAAATCCTAAAACATCCTTAGCCATGACCAATTAAATATTTTAAGTATAAAATATACATAATTTTAATTAAAAAATAAATAAGCAGAGCTATTTAAAAGACTTTAATTAAAAAATATCACAATCATGATAAAGTAGGAGTAATAATAATAATAATGATAATAATAATAATAATAATAATTATTATTATTATTATTATTATTATTATTTATAACACATATGAAAGTAGAAATGGGAAAATAATAAGATTGAAAAAAATGCTCTCATTCAATTTAGGGATAGACAAATATATTTTCAAGGGTTTCGATTTTTTTTTATTGGAACAAGAAAAAAAATCATTCCTTACATTATTGGACTAGTCACTGCTATGGAGATTTATTGGACTAGTTGCTGCTATGGAGATTTACATCATTTGTCAAGATCATTTTAAAGCGAAAGGATCTAATATGATCTCTTTTATTTTTCGTATTGTCGTTCAAAAGAATATATACAATTCTTTTGGTTTATTAAAAGATCAGTGAACTCTATTAGCTTCTGATAGTAAAGATCCACGTCTGATCTACATAAGTATTTGTGATATTTAATATTATAATTAATGAATTATATTATTTTCAAAAAAAATCTATAAAAATATAAATTTGAAAATATATTACATATAAATATTTTTATATTTAATTTTTTAATTTTTTTTTTTTTTGGTTCTCTAAGTTTTTCCTGCAACTGTATTATGAATTTTTATTTTATCTATTTTATAAATCAATTTTTTTAAAAAAAAATCTAATTTTACCACCGATCTTAATTTTAGAAAAAATCATGTATAATTTTATTAGTAAAAGATACTGCATGAAAATAATATTTAAAAATAATTTAAAACTTGACTTTTGTTCTATAGGATCTTTAACATTTTCTTTCATTGTTTATTCTTGATTTTTATTATTTTGTACATTTTTCACTTAGTACTTTTTCTTTATTTTTTTTGCTTTTGCATTTTTTATTTTCATAAAATTATTAATTATATAAAATTTAATTATTTTGTTTTCACAAAAATGGCAGAAAGATCAAAATGTGATCTAAAAATTATTACAGAATCACAAAAAATATAAAAGCTATAGAGATGGATTTAGTTAGAAAATATAAAAGCTACATCATGATCGATTTATTTAATAAGTATGAATATTAAAAAAAAAATGTGTAAAATTATAAATTAATAATATTAGTAATAGGCAGTATTTTGAGAATCAGACCGATCAGTAAACCGGTGAAGGTAAGGTTCACTAAACCAAAGAGTTCAACTGGGTTCAATATGGTTCAACCAGATTTTTATATATAATATTTTTGAATATATTTATTAAATAAAATTGAAAGTATAAGATAAATAAAATTTTGATATCATATAAAAAACATTCTCAAATTTGACTTTTATAAAAGAACAAAAAAGTTAGTAAATAATTTTAAACAAAAAAAATAAAACATGACTAAATTGAATACTAAAAAAATTAGTTAATTACAATAAAATATAATATTATTTTTCATATTTGGCTTTAAAGTTGAGCAATTTAATTATTTTAATTAATATATTAGGACTTCGGGTATAGAAATAAAAAGGTTTAAAAACTAAAAAATCGGTAGGCTTAATTTTTAAGAGGCCCACGGTTTGAGAAAAATCTAAAATTTGAATCGAACTGGTTTTAATCTATCCGGTTCACTAGTTTTTAGTTGGTTTTCGTTTGATTTTCACCGGTTTATACTAATTTTTTATATAACCCAAACTGAGCCACAGTCTGATTACAAGTTAAAGCGCCAGTCTGATCCGGTTTTCAAAATAATGGTAACAGGTGATTCAATTTATCTTGCACTATGTACCCTTTGTTTTTGTTGTTTCCTGTGGAAACAATATTAATATTTCAATTTGATATTATAATACTTAATATTTTCAAATGTCTACACTTCAACCTGAGTCTATATTCTCTTAAATTATTTAGAAAATATGTTTTCTTTATGATTTAAAAAAAGTTTATACATTCAATTTGTAATTTTTGTTGGCTTCAAATGATTTCTTTTAAAATTAGAATAGGTTTCTAGTTAGCCACTAAAACTAGTGAATAGGTTTTTAGTTACACTTCACATATCATGCACTTATATTTGCTATTTATTTATAATTATATGGAATTGATTTGAGTCTTTCATTTTATTCCATACTACAATATTTTTGCATATTCATATTGATTTTGTGATTGCATATGTGAAAAAGCATTTCTGTTAATCAAATAGGTGGTTGTCAAGAAAGTAAGAAATAACGAGGCTTTAGCTAAGAAGATGTTAGTGCATTCTTTCAACTACTCCATTTTGTTGAGTAGCTTGATGTATAATGCCTTGAAATGCATAAAAAGTAGGCAAAATAAACTCCAACCCATTGTTTGTTCCAATTTATTTTACTGAAATTAGAAATTCCTTAAAAATAAGAAAATAAAACTATCGAGTTAATTGTCCAACTTCATAATTGTGTTTCAAGAGGAAGATCCAAGTACATTTAGTAAAGTCAAAAATAATGATTGTCATGTGAATCACTTCAGAAGGACTTCATAACCTGTTGGCTTGTAACGTTTATCCGCTTTATCGTCAAAACAACGATATGACCCAAACTTTAAGGTTAGAAGCAAGTCCCTTTGTATTTTGTTAAAATAAACACAAGATCATATTCTTATACATGATATGTAAATGTCGGTGAATCGAATATCTAACTTCTGTAGCACATCAGACGAATAACTCTTGAAATTTGTATTACCAGTTTATTGACTGTAAAAGCAATATCGAATTGAGGTAGTGCTTCTGATACTTACTCACAGTCTAAAAGCTCTTTTTGTCCTTTTTTTTAATATGAGTGAGAGAACTCTCAGATTATCCTAATGCCTCTTTTATTTTTAATTGTGATAGATTAAAAAAATATTGAAGAGCCTAATCTCCTACTTTTGTATTTTTAAATTAGATCACAATAGAGTTGAGTTATCCTACTAAAACTCAAAAATACTAGTTGTAACGAACTAGAATTCTATTAAATTTATTTAGATAATAATAATAATAATAATAATAATAATAATAATAATAATAATTAAACACATTAATTATTATTAGTAGACCCGAATTAAAACATTAATCATAGGCGTAACCCACATCCGTCCATTAATTTTTGATATTTTTAATTTGATCATCAGAGGTAATCCTTTTCATATAAATCATTTAAACATATTTTGTTTTCAATTTAATGACATTTGAATTCTTCTACAAATTGTTCACATGATCAATTTACATGGATTGTCAACTCACCACTTTAAACTGGCTCATCAAATGTGACCTTGCAACCAAATTGACCCATAAGCTTTTTCAATTGATCCAATTAGACCAAAACATTCTTTTGCCAATTTTACTCGTGAACTTATAGCTTTGGACTAAGTTGAAATTATCGCACAACTCATATGCTGATGCCTAATGGTTAAGAATATTGGGAAATTTATGGGTTTTTGTAATTTCACTTTATTTTGTCCTTTCTATCAATTATACCTCAAATTTAGCCTTTCATAGCAATAACATCCTCAATTGCAATTAATGATGGAATTGCAAATAAAAAAATGTTTTCATTTTATAGAAAAATTAAAATAAAACTAAACAAAATTTTAAATATCCTTTAAATATTAAATTATACTCGCATCTAATAAATAACACATTTATATTTATATTTAGAATTACGATAATACATGTATAGTGTAATTAGAATAATTAAGAAGTTATTTTTTTATTAAATAAATAATAATTTGACTATACTGTCAATGCAAAAAATTACACAAAAAAAAAAAAAGGATTTTCATTTAACGGCAAAATGTTAAAAAAAGAAAAGAAGAAAGAACTAAATAAACTAACAGAGTTACACCTCAGGAACTGTTAATATTTATCAAACTGCAGAGACTAATTAATTAATTTAATCAAACGTCAAAGAGAATATAATTATTTTCCCTGAAATTTATTGGAGGATTGAATCATAGAAATAAGGAACCTTTTTCTGGGTAGATTTTTTTACCGTTTATTTAGCTAAAGTCTCTTTTAGGTGTTGATACTTGAGATTTTTAAAGCAGTGGCAAGTCTGTTCGTTTATAGAATCTTAAAGATCAACGATATTAGATTCTGTAATTAAATTAAAAAACATTAATGCATGGTAGTGACTAGTGAGTAGGCTACCACCACCAACCTTGTATTAAGGGCTTCATGGAGATAGAATCAGAAAATCACTTCAATAGAAGATTCAAGATTCGCAAATAGAACTCTCAGATGCAATTTTGTGCATGAATATCACTGCAGAGAGTTCAATGGATCTATCTGGATCAGAAAAACACACAAAACAAATGTTTCTTCCCCTTCTTTTAAAAAAAAAGAAAAAAAAAAACATAAAATCATAAGAGAATCAGCGAACTGTCCAATAGAGAATTCTATAAGCAAAAGCTGTGCGCCAATTCCACTCATTAACGAGATCATCCCCATAAATCCTCTATCAGGGCACCAATTAGCACCCATTACAAGTTTTATCCATATCATTCCACATCTCCTGCCCAAAAGAATTGCAAAAAGTTCATTAATTGAGCTAACTAAAGTGGTAATTAATATGAGAGACGGAGAGAAGACAGATGACATTGACTGATTTTTAACACCCTCCGCAGATCCACATGATGGTGCAGTACTACCTCCCTTTCTAAATACTTATTATATTTGAGAAAATACTATATTCTAAAATACTTATCACATTTGTGGTTTCAAAGAGTAATAAATTTTTTTTTCATATTCACCCTTTATATATGACCAACAATCCAACAATTAATGCTTCAACTTCTCAAAAATTTGGTGTTTTGGATATATTGAATTAAGGGTAATATAGTCAATTTACTTGATAATTTATTGTAACTTAGACAAATCAAGTATGTAGAAACAGAGGTAGCATTATAATAGAGAATGACAAGTAATTTTGCAAAAAAAAAAAAGATGCAAACTCAACAAATGAAGCAATCAAGTAATGGCCAAGACCACAACCATGCAAAAAATGGCATAGAATGCAGACTGTAATTAGTTAGATGTACTTACATCTTCCAGAAGCTAATGCAGCTCCAGTTGTCCTGCAGTAATTCAATAGTGTTAAGTTCAATAAGCCCTTCATCCTCTAATATGCAATTATATACCTATCCAATAATCCAAAGATAGTGCAATAATTAAGGAAAAAAAAAGGTTGAAACCATACCTGCCCTGCTGCTTTCCTGCATAGCTTGAGTTAGACCTCCCTTGAATTATTGAACCCTTGCTTTGTGTGCTGTTGATATTTGATCTATCATACTCTGGTCCATTCATTTCTTGAGATTCTTTAGACTTGCTCAAAATTTTTATATTTGAGATGCCTCCAGCATTACCAAAAGTAACACCATTTGAATGTTTAGAGTCAATTGATGGAACCTTCCTGAGTCGGTGAGACTGTGCCATTGGAGTAACAGCCACAGAAGGCAAAAATGATGAGTAAGGAGGAGATGCTGCAGCAGCAGCAGCAGCAACTTTAGCAACAGCTGCTGTAGCAGCTATCATTTCTTGAGCTCCCTCTCTAAGCTGAATATAGTCACCCTCAATGCAGAATAACTGAAATCACAACTTGAAATCCTTAGATGAGATAATTAGACAATCTGTGAAACCTAGTAATTTCAAATTCCAGACACTCACTTCAGGGTGACCAGCCACAAACTCGTCCAGCTTGCCATACTTTTTCTTGTAATCGTGCCAGTGCAAAGGTGCAAGCATCTTCCCCAGCCTATTTGGTAGCTGTATTTAGACACCAAGAAAAGCTATTGTAAACTTTTTTAGGGATGTGACCTGGCTTAGGATGGAGGATTAATTATTTAAAGAAACACAAACCGTTGAACTGATCCGAATGCTACCACGAGTTGGAATTGTACGAACGATGCAAGCTAACAGAGATCGTTCATCAAGAAGGGCAGCCTCAGAAGTTTTTCCTGTGGTCACCATATTTGTTTGTGCAGATGAGATTAATGTTTCAGATAATACTACACTAGCACCATTACTGGTTGGAGCTTCGCCAACTGAATGCATTGATGTTTCAGAAAGTGATGCACTAGCAGAAGAACTTGGCTGTTCTTCCGTCAAAACTTGGCCATCTAGTCCCTGATCACTCAAGTTCAAAATATTTTGCTCCTGCACCATTTCAAATTCTATCCCAGTTAAGTATATAGTTTACCTTGTGATTTCAACACAAAACAAGCCAAAACAATGGTACCAGAAAAGCAAAGAGAATATTCAGCCAAAAAATAAAAAGTGACAACCTTTGTTTCACTGTTTTGTTCAAGTTGATTCAGTCTTAAGGAATCACTAAAATGGGAAGAAATCTTTTGTACACTCTGCTCAGGTTGAGGGGCAACCAAGTAACTTCTATCCATTGGCTCAAGAACCTGCAAATGGGGGAAAAGCTGTTATACCCTGTCAATGATGATTACACAAACATATTGCACATAGATAGCAACATGTAAATATGCAGAACCTGTGCTTCCCCAGCCGATGACGAGACAACAGAATCAGGCTCTGTCCCTTGGTTCATGTGAACATCAAGATAATCTGATCGAAAGCCCTGTCCATTAACAGAAATTTCATACTCATACTTTGCATCTGATCTCATAAGGTTGTGATCAGTTTGGGATGACGCAAGTTGATTCTGTGTGGATAATTGTGCACCCTCAGCAGCCTGAAAATTTGAGAAGTAACAGTACTCATTAACATTACAACATGTAAAACACTTAACTGATGTCACATTTTCATCTGATGATAAGTGGAAAATAATAAGCATTATAATATGTGTTAACAAAGTACACAGAAAAGGTATTCAATTTGTAATACCTGCTGGTTCTGCCACTCTGGTGTGGACGACATTGCTGGTATTGAATGAAAATGCCCAACATGAGATTGAGGAACATGTGATGGCATAGAATGAGGAATTCCTTGTTGATGCAGAATGAATGGATGCACAGTCACCTGTCCAGGTGGAAGGTACGTAGGCATCCCAAGTAAAGACGATGGAGCAATTGGAACACCAGCAACATGGTTGGTCTAATGATGAACACAAAAATATCAGAAGTCAATATACGCATCAGAACATTGATATCCCTTCATACTACAAGATAGGTATCTACCAACAAACAAAACAGATTTTTTTTTTTTTTAACTTGACACAAGATTATTGGCTGATTATCCACGATATAACCTGCAAGTAATACAAGCCACACGCAATAGACCAAGCTGTCACCAAACTATTTCTTGATTGGGTTCTCCCATTAAAAATTTCTTTCTGAAATTTTATACATATAAAAAAATAGAACACTCTGGTGTATTCTTTTCAACTAAAATCCCTGCACGGCAGGGACAAGATACCATCCTATTAAATGTCAGGCTAGTTTGCGAATAGAAGCAAAATTTTTCTCAAACCCCAAGATTTCTCCAAAAGTCTCTCTCAAACAAATACCAGTTGAGGGAAAAAAGTAGGATGCTCTAATGTGATAACAATAAATGCAAGCTAGCAGAAAAATTCAACAGCGAGTAGCACCATCAAAACCCCCCAAGTATATTGACGTGATACTTTTTCTTTGTAGGGGATGTTTCATGTTTAGAAGCCTCAATATGAGATGAAATATGTGCAAATATATTTTTGTACTAATTTGTACAAAAAAAAAAAAAATTGCTTGACTGTGAATCAAGCATTATTAACTAAGAGAAGTGCATTTCAAAGCAAAAAGTATGCGAATCAAATACACTCACCAAAAAGTAAAGAACAATTTCCTCAGCATAACATCCTTGGAAATACGACTTCTCAAGAATATAACTAAGAAAGATAGTACACTTCAGAGTAAATAGTGTGAACTGCACGAAAAAGGGTGTAGATTTCTTAAGCAGTAACTGCCCAGGAAATAATTAATTGGAAAATTGGCATTTCTGACTTAGCAAGGCCTTAATAAAATTTAGACCACACTAACATCATGCTTCCTTTTTATCTTGCAATAACTTCTTCCCACAGCCAACATAAAATTATACTTTAGCGCTGTTTCAACTCATCACAACCATGAATGTCCACTTTCTGTATAACCAACCACCATAGAATAAGGCAGTAGCATTCAAGTTTACAAGCTGTATCTCAACGAACATTACACGAAGCTATCCCAAAATCTCTTTCAGATGTAGTGGACCACTAAAGCATGTGATATTTCCAATCCTAGACCATGTCTCACTAATTGTGAAATCTTGAATGTGAGGTGTATGGTTAATAAGTTTTAAGTCTAATTATCCATAGAAGCAGAAGTTGAAAATTATATTCTGCTTGCCAGAGGATATGCCTCAAGCATCAGATTATGATACTTAGAGCTATCGAAAGTTTCTCAACGATAAAATTAAACACAAATATGGGAAAAGATACTTTGAGCCGGAGAGGAATGGATACGAACTTTGACAAAAGCAGATGTTACAAGCCTTAACTGAGGAAAATAACCTAAAAGTATGTTTTAACTCAAATAAAATTTGAAAAAAAAAAAAGTTTAAGAACACAAATTTAAAATGCGCAATAAGCAAGCGGATAAAATTAAGTCAATTATAAATCCTCGGGATATTTATGACCACTTATGAGCACAATAAATATTACTTGATTTGAAACTAATACCTAATCCACCCCAACCATGGCCTAGCGAAAACCCCATCCACTCAACAGGCCTAAAGCAAAACGAAAAGAGATTAAGAATCTCCCAGATATGGGGGCCTAAATCATTGTTTGTGCTTATGAATATATAGCACATTTGGGGATACTGTTGAGCTGCTTTAGGAAGATCCAACCAAAAGCTGTTACAGGGAATTCTTGCTCAACAAGTGTTGCAGCTGCTTTGGCATAAGCATCGAATGTGGAATTATGTCAGAAGATACCCAAGCCCTCCCATATCATGCAACCAACTCAAAAATATTGGCACGTTCCTACATGATTTGGTTTCTCATTACATATTTTATCTCCATCCTATTCTTATCGACCTTTTCTGACATTCTGTCAATCCCATAGAACATTTACAGTACTTCTATAATTCTTTTTAATAGCCCAAATCTATAGTACTAGACCAGCAAAGTATTCACAGGAAAAGAATCAGCTATGAAACCAAGAATCAAATTTCAATATTTATTCTAGCCTTGCAGGCACAATAAAATATAGGAGGCTATCAAATGTATTAATACTGCTATCTTATTGCAACTATATTATAAAAATATTGAATAAAAGAGGAGATGTAGTCCTGTGTATCTCCACCATAAATGGTAATGCTTACTAAAATTGTCATTGAATGTCAACCTCAGCATGGATTTACTTTAACTAGTCATAAATGACCATAATGACAAGCAAATCTACCTGGTTTGATGCATTATCTGCATTCCCATTTGGAATTGCTCCATTATTAGCACTTGTTGCACCACTTACATTAACATCTAGCTGGCTTCCATTATTTTGACCAAACTTTGATAGATCCTTTGAACTTTTTTGGGATACGTGTGACTCATCAGGGTAAGAGCCACTCCTCTCCCTTGCATCAGCTAACTCAAGATGAAGCTGTTGCATGGTAATCATATGAAGCCTCTCCATTTCTGCTAACTGACATCAATAACACCAGGAGGAAGCAAATAAGTTAGTGATCCAAAATGATTAAACTTTAGCCAAAAAACTAGCTGCGTCAAGCTGTTTATTATGTAGCAAGTAATGACCTATATTGCATCAATACAGGCATACAAAGAAATAAAAAAATAAATTTCACAAGCAGACTCAAGAAACTGATTTTCCAGTTGACAACCAATAGGGAATTCTAAATGTAAACAAACAGATACAAGCACGTAAACTTGATTTACAAGCATACGCAATTTGTAATATAAGCCAACATCTGAATAAGTTCCAAGAGAACACAATGCTAATCAACCTGTGTTTGACAACCCAGCCATAGTTGATTGTATTGTTCTGTTCGTTCTCTTAATTCAACCTGTAATGAATGGTTTGTAGAAGATTGCAAGGCATCCATCTCTTGAACACGTGCAATCCAAACTTTCAATTGTTCATCCTTCAAAAATATGGTCTCCTGATCAGCCCTATGCTGAAAGTTAAGATCACTATTAGACCTTTTGATCCTTGCATGGTTGAAATTTGAAAAGAATCTATTTGCCAAATTTTAATGTTGGAAAAGAAGTTTAAACAGAAATATGAATTAAAATTTTCAATAGCTATCATAAATTGTAAACTTATTTGAGAACCAGAAACATAAATTTCCAATCAATATACCTGTTCTTGCAAATCAAGAATCCGCCTCTCTTTTTCTTGAACATGTTCTTGAAGATCACGTATTTGCTGTATATGTTGTGCCCTTTCAGCTTCAGAATGATCACGCTCTCTTCTGCAGAAGAAACAGTCTCACTAAATTATATGAAATCGAGAAAAAGGGCATCAGCAATGTGATCATTAGCTAAATGAATTTCAAGCTTTTATGTCCACAAGAAAGTAATGGAACAAGAGAACAATCATCTGTACCTCCATCTATAATAATTTAGAAATTTTTTCAACATTGAATGAACTCATAAGGGAAAAAATATTTAAAAGTCAAGGAAAAGAGACCAAAAAGCATAATATAACAGCCTTAAATCTACGAACATGATGCCTTCTAGGCTGACTTTGTTTTTACATTCAATTTGTTTCTACTTTGATTTGCCCAACAATAATATGGGGCATGCCTCAATCACCCAAAGAAAGTCATATGCAAAGTTTACTTTGATACAACAAAGTGATGGTAGAACTTGCATCCAAACACATACCTAAATGTTGCCAATTCTTTATTTTGTTCTCTAAGAAGGTCTTCTTTGGCCCAGGCCTGCAAACAATGAGACAAAGGTCAATACTGCAGATAGTTCACCAAAAAAGACATTGTCCAAGAGCACAACAAAGACACGAACAAACCGCTTCATTATCCAATTTAATGGCATGCAGTTCTCTATCTTTCTCTTCCATCCTCCTTTCTAACTCATGTAGAGCCTGTTCCCTTTCACGAAGTTGTTCCTACAAGTCAAATTAAGTCAATATTTAGGATTGAAGTACATGAGGAAATAATCCAGTTGCTAGTATCTAGACTGATTGAGACCTAACCAATTTTAGTGACCATATGCTGCAAGATTCATGCAGTAAAATAGAAAGGCTTAGAGGCCATAAGAAGCCAAGTTCTTTGCACCTAATCTACTGTTTTATTGTTTATGCCATTGTTGTATATAACTTAAAATATCTTTATCATGAAGTACAAGTCAGCCAAAATCAACTCCACTAAATCACAGATTTTTAATTCCTTGCACTGTAATGGATGGAAATAACTTGCAACTTCACACCAGAAACTGATAAAAGGTTTCTACCTGAAGTTTTGCAGTAGCATTTTCATGCTCTTTGATTTGGGCATCAAAGCTGTTTTGCATTTCCATGATCTCAGATCTTGCAATCACCTGTGCTTTAAGCTCAATCTCCATCTGTTGCAGCTCTTCTCTTTGTCTAGTAATACTGTGGATTCGCTGCTGCAAAATGTCATTGTCTAAGCTCCCATCCACAGTGATGGAACAGAAGTCCACATCAGCAGGCTCTCTTCCATGCTGTACCTTGATAAACATCAAAATCAACTTCACTTTTCATTATCATCAGGACAAAAATATTGTTTAAAACAAGAATATTACCTCATATATTGTTCTCTCATCTGATTGCCCCAAATTTGACCTTTCCAATTCCTGTAATCAGCAAGCCATCCAGTTAAAAGACCAAGACATCAGCACATCCTAACATTGGTCTGTTTAAAACTAAAAGAAGCCAAAGATTTCAATATCAAATTTATTCGGGTTGTTTTCAACATCAATAACCACAGTTAAGGAGAACAACTTTTTTGGTGTTGGCAGAAGAACAATTATTAGAAATTAAAATTATCCATCATGCTCAAGTTCCGGTCACCAGCTGGGGTTTTATTTTTTTAATTACAAGAAATTATTTCACTCAGTTAACCTCCCATCAAAGAATTTTTAATTAAATCACTACATTATTAATACAAGCTCAAAACAATAAACCCAACCCACAGGCAACTTCAAAATCATTTGGGCAAAAACATATGACCCCAATTGCTCATTACAAGTGCTCTATTTATATTGCTGTATAAGCACACTAAAAAATTAAAAAAAAAAACCCTAACTCCCAGTTTGGTTGCTGAAACAATCGAAAAGAAAGAAACTACATGTCATATGCCATCAAACCTAACTACTAAGATAATATACCAGACACATATGATAATAAAACCCAATCACCAAACAAACAATTTCTCCCGCATTTCCAACATTTTTCTCAAGAACCAACCAAACCAGAAAGTAAACATTATAGAGCAAAACTACCACCTCATCACCGGCGTTTCGAACGGAATGGTGGTCAGAAACGGCACGCCACTCCTTCCTGGACGATGGCATCGGCAAAGAACCGCCGCGTGAGGCGACGACACTGGCCGCAGCCTCCATTAATTCGAAAGAAATTTCCGATAGGACTCCAATTCTCCTCCGCTATCTGAACAAAAAAGAAAAAAAAAAAACCCTAGCTTGTATAGAAAAAATCAAATGAAACCCTAGAAATTGTTGAAATTTTCCAATAAAGGAGTTTGAACGAAAATGGAGAAGAATAGAAAGGGGAATAAAGTACCTTAGGTGAAGATTTTGGGGGTTTTGTAAGATTGGAGGGTTTTTGCAGGGGCTTGGAGTGTAAATAGTGAAATGTTGACGCCAAGAGAGAGCGAAGAACGAGAGAGATGATTGGGTGTGAGAAATTTCCACACAGGGGAGGCTCCCGCCATTTATAGGGCAAGTTCATCGCTAGGACAAGTTAGTTTCACGCGCTCTACTTCCGCGTATCTCGCACATTTCTGTTCTCGTTTCACTTTTCCACGTTTCAACTCTAGTACACTTCCGGATTCGGTCAAACTCAAGTCATTCCACTTTGTGCTTGATTTTTATTTATTTATTTTAATTAATTTCATATTATGGTAAAATCAACCAATCGAATCGAGTTGATTGGTTACTATTTGGTTTTTAATTTTCAAAGAAAATATTAATTTTTTCAATTGGATTTAATTATTATTGTATTGTTGATGTCGGTCCATAGCAAGCTGACCCAAGAGTAAAATCTATATATAGAGTGCCACTTAGGTCTAGAAGCTCCATTTTGTATATATTATAAATAATGTAAATATGACATAGGACAATGAATATTTTAGAATATTTACTTTAATTGGAGTGCACTTTTTTAACTTGTACAAACAGAAGGAGACATTATTGTAAATGATAAGAATTCAAAGACACGTAAACCTGAATGCAATAACATTTATTTCACTTCTCTTTTTTCTCTCTATTATTTTCTATCTTCTCACCTAGTTCTTTTTCCTATCTATCCCTTTCTCCTCTTTTTTTGAATTAGTGACCCATGGCCGGTTAATCTGCGCAGTTTTTACCCATGCGCATTCTGGCAGCCTGATAGAAGCAAGACCTATGGGCACGATTCGATTCGGGCCAAACACCTTTTTTGACATGCTTGGTGTGATTGTTTTGGCATTGTTAAGATATCAGGATGCTACCAAAACTGACCGATAAACGATCACAAAGGATAAGGTAACTACGATCGATGCTTAGATAAAACAAACACTAGACGTCCCTAGGAATCCGATTGATGTCTCCCTACCTAGAATGGATGTGTAATACCCCCAATGTGACAGTCTCGAATATTCTGATTACTATGGTAATTATTGTTATTCGGAAGGATAGAATAATAGAAATTACCTTAATTCGTTAACGAGGAAGTATTAATTATAAGATATGATGTTTAATGGATACCCAATTTCATTATGAAAATCAAATTGAAAAAATGTTAAATGAGCTTAAGCTTTAATGATGAGAAGCTAGCATAAGAAGCTCCTTAACCTAATACCTTGATTTAGCATTTAATGGATTAATGTTAAATCACCTAAGACATTTGATTAAGGTTTAATTGTGTACATATATCCTCAATTTGGTAGTTTTTGGTATTCTAGCTTATTCAATAATTTCGGTTATCCGAATAATCTAGAAATTGAGAATAATGAGAAACACTATAGTTAGGGTTTAGGGTATTAATATTAATTAAATGGAAATTAAAGTATTTATGAATCAATTTGAAAGATTAAAGGGAATTGAAAATGAGTTAAAGAAGAATGATTTCCCAATAAAGCACAATTTTACCTAGAAGTCCCAAAAATCAATAATATTAGTATGATGTTGCTTAAATATGGTTGGATTATTAAATAGACTTGGTTTAGACCTAATTGGGACTAAACTAAAGTAATCAAAAAGATTTAGTTGCAATTGTAAGAAAAGAGAAACAAATGAAGGATTAAGGTGCTCAATAATTTAGTAAATGATGTTGCTTAAATTATGGTTGGATATTAAATTAGACTTGGTTTAGACACTAAATTGGGGACTAAACTAAAAGTAATGCAAAAAGATTTAGTTGCAATGTAAGAAAAGAGAAACAATGAAGGATTAAAGGTGCAAAAAGACAACTAAAGGACATGGAGGGACATTACCATGAAAGGGTTTTTGTATAGCCCACCTATTTAAAGATGACTCATCAAGCACCTCTTGCTCATTTTTTACTACCGCATGGTCGAAGCTTCCATCATAAGAGAGAGAAAATTCCTTAAGGTCAGCTTAAGTGGCAATGATTTCTAAGGAATTTTTCAAGTGATTCTTAAGGAGAGGTTAGTTATTTTCTTCTCCTCTTTCTTTCCTTAAGGAGAGGTTAGTTATTTTCTCTTCCTCTTTCTTTTCCATGGTTTTATTTTTGATTTCCATGAACTATGATATGAGGTGCTTGCTTATTGTTGCTGATTTTGTGGAGATGATATGATTATAAGTGCTTTTAAGGTGATTAAGGATTGTTAATCATGAATTTGATGTCAAGTTTGCATAATTGACCAAATTAGTTAATTTTAACCATTCGATTGATATTCTATGGAGTATGTATTCTAGTATATGAAAGATTATTATGTTAAGTAGGTGTTAAAAGAGTTGATATGCATAAATTAATGGTGGAGGTATGTTAAGGATGCTTAAGGAAGTAAGGTATTCTTAAGCTTATTACTTTGGAGCTACCTTAAAATTCAGCCACTAAGATTGACTTAGTTAAATAGATCAACAAACTTCAAAATTCATGAAATGTTACAGAGAGGTATATTAAGATGTTAGGAAGGTTGTGGTAAAAGGCTAATGCAATGAATGAAGAGAAATGGAGTTATAGCTAATTATATGCAGGCTGCTCATTGGAAAACTTGACTGAGATTTAGGTACAATCATTAAGCTATTTGGCTATGCAAACAAGCTCCAAAATTCATGAAATTTTTTATGGGAGTAGCTTGAGATGTGAGGAAGATGCTGTTAAAGTTTCAGGACAAATGGATTTAAGAAACTGAAGTTATAGCTAAAGGAAAGCAGACTGCTCATGTGATTAAAATATTGTATTCTAATCATTAGTAATGAATTGAGCATACTTTTGATATGTTATTAAGTCCCATTATTTTAGTTATTATTTTTATGATTCTAGTATGAGATTAAGTATTAGAAATAAAGTAGTTCATGCCTAAAATAAAGACAAATGGTACTTGGTTAAACATAGAGAAATTGAAGGGAAGGCATGAATCCTACATTCTAATGCTTAATTTGTATCCCTATGATCGCATATGTGTATTTATTGTGTAGTATGAAGTTAATATGAATATTAATTTCATGCTAAAGCTTATGAGAAGAGAGGGTTGGAAAAGAAGTCAATAGGTAAGGGAGAGGAGCTAGTGGAGCCTTCTAGCTCAGGTTAGTGCACTATATCTATAACTTATGTTGTTTATGTGATAAGTAAAATAGTTTTAAAAAAATATTTTATGAAAAGTTACAAGGTTAAGTTAAAATAAGTTTTTAAAAAAATATTTTATGAAAAGTTACAAAGGTAAAAGCAATATGCCCCTAAAGCTTACTATTTTTTATGAGCTTTTACATACAAGAGAAAAAGTTGATTTTATTTATCAAAATGTTTATAATCAAATGAAATTAAAAGTTCAAAATGGTGATTATTGCATTTGTGGAATTGATTATAAAGAAAGGCAAATGCGAGTTTATAGTTTAAATGTGTATACAAAATAATAAAGAGCTAATGTTAAATGTTTTATAATAGTTGGAAATGGTGTTCAAAGTACTCATTTGAATGGAAAATGGAGGATGATATTGGAAGAATGGATATAGAAAATGTTTGAGCAAAATGAAATGCTGCTCATTATGGCTAATGATTGATTTATAATGTGTTTTCGCACTGCCCCCGAGCGATCCGAAAAACGTTCACTTTTAGGTTTGAGTGGAAAATGATCTTTATTTAGTACAGTGGTGACAAAACATTTTGGATACAATGCCGATAAATCGGTCTTATAAAACATTTAATCGGTCCTTATAAAACATTTTGAAGTCGACATCAATTTAATTTCGGCATGGGGACCGTTTTCAATTCAATTTTATAAAAATGACTAAAAATGACTCCATTTAAACCTAATTTTATTTAAGGCCAAATTATTTAAAAACTGGTCAGGCGCACCAAGACGATTCTGGGTAAGGGAATTGGGTACGTCGGCCCAGTGGAAGCCGACGCCTGAAAAAACCGGCTTCTTTTAACCTACGATTTCTAATTTATTTTAGTTAGAAAAGCCAAATTATTTATTTACTTGAATCCAATCCGAATGAATCGAACCGAGTTCTTATGTGGAAAATTAATTAATCGTCCCATTCAATTTCAATCAAATTCAGTTATTGCATCCATAATCATCTAAATCATCCACACAAAAGCAGTCAAAACAAGTAAATAAAAGACCCGCTCTTGCCTTATGGTTAAAGGCAAGCCATGCGGGCCACAAACCAAACCTAAAAAATACATTCTACCCGATTAAACATTTTAACGCCGAAAAGCCAAAAACCCAAAATCATGCAGATTAAAAATTTTAACCCGAAAGCCAAAAACCCAAAATCATGCATAATTACATTTTAATATTCTAAACTTAATTAAATCGCAATCTGCCCACAAGTGGTTGTCTTCGGATTTATTAAAAGAATTAAAATTTATTTTTTTGTACAAAAATTATTATTTTTTTAAAAAGGATAAAAAAATGTTTCTGGAACCCTATAATAGTTGCGTCACGCAGCTGTCTTTGTCTTTGGAAGAACAGTTACGTGACGGATCTAATAGTCGCGTGACCTAACTGTTCTTAAAACTCCAGATCCATCAACCGTATATTTTAGATCCACAATTAAAATAGAATATATATTAAAAATAAAATGAAACTGTGAATATGAACAGTCCCGTCACGCAACCTCCAGATCCATTACGGATCTGATAGCCGCGTGAAACAACTAATCTGGGTAAGGAAACGATATTTTGGACATGAACAGTTCCGTCACGCAACTGCCAGGTCCGTTACGGATCTACTGGCTGTGTGACGCAACTGATCTGGTCCGTGCTTACTTTTCAAACAACTTATTTACATCATTCTTTTATTTAAACAGGCTTTAATAAAATCTAAAAACAACTAAGAGTGAGCAGAATACCGTTTAACTAAGATTAACTACTAAAACAATAACAAAATAAACAATACTAAATAAAAATACAAAGAAAGGTTTAAAAAATACAAAAGAAAGGTTTAAGGGAATTCTAACACCTCAGATGAGGATTGTAAACAGCTTGAACCTTGAACGCCTTAAAGAATGAAGGTTAAGGGGTTCCAGAAGCTTTGTCCA